TTAGCTAAAATGTAAATAATCTATTGGCAAAAAAAAGAAAAAAACAGCAACATGTATCCAGAAAAAAAAAGAAACAACTAAAGACTAGCATTTTACACAAATGTCTCAACTAATGTACCAAATACATTCCATATGGCAGCCAAGAGATAATAAATTGATTCAATTTAAAATCCACTGGTGGTTTTTTTTCTAAAAAAAAGGCTTAAGTCTATCCATCTAACCTTTTGTAAAACAGATATATATCAAAAACACAGAAGGCACAATTTAAGTCAGTTGCAAAATAGAAGAACACATCTTCAATAAACTAAATAAATGGCAGTATCTTAAAATATACCAAATTCACAATATGACACAAAACAAAAGCTACATTTTGGAAATAAATAAATAACACTCGCTGAATAATTACAAAGCGAAAACATCCTTCTTGTGTCCAGAGGAAATGTTTAAAATTGATAATAGAATTTGGCAGGTAAATAAAATGTACATTTTAAAACAATTCTAGGATTTAAATATAATCTAGTTCATGCCTCAACAAAAAGGCATTATCTTTAAGTCACATGATAAGAGGCAAAATATTAGGCCAAATTTGTACATTACCACCAAAGGCACCCTGTATCAATATGCCTGGATATTATTTTGCAACGTTTGCAAAGAAAAATCTCAAATCTTATGAGATGAAAGTGAACACATCTCACATATCCCACAATTTCAGTCTCTCTATGGTATCTCAGAAAAAGATACAAAAACAGCTTTGAGACATGGAATACTTGGATAAACACAAGAACTAGTGAGATTGCTTGGTCCTCACATCTTACCCTTACTTCAAGAGAGTAACAAGTGAACAAGGAAAAATGGAAGTGAACACTATCAGTCTTTTGTTCACACATTTAATTGATGTACATAGGAACTAATTCAATTGGAGTGCCAATGACCAAACCCTCACAAGAAAATATGAAGTAAGAAATAAAATGTCTAATATCTTCGGACAAAAAAATTCATGGCTGTTAATTTAGCAGGAATGATTTTCAGAATAAATTGAGAAACAATCTTATCACTGGTTTGGGGCCGTGATACTTCCTAATTTTCAAGAAATATTTCTATGACGTACACATACTGTAGTACTCTGCTTTACCCTTGATGTTTCGTAAATAATCATTCATTCTCTCATTCAATTCATCTATCAAACCTGTTATGGTTGAAAGCTGTTTTTCATTGGCACTGTATACATCCCCCATGTCTGAAAAAAAAAGAAGGAAAATAAGTAAAATTTAATTGTTTAAGATTAGACCAATTACAATAAGATATACAATACCTTGAAGTTTTTTCAGTTTATCATTAGTTTGAATTCGTAGACTTGAAGCTTCATTCAGAATCTTTTGGGCCCTCTGTCTTGAGTTGTTGGAAAGCTTGGAACGATCCTGAAGACGAGAAGCAGCTGTTTCATACTTTGCTCGCAGTTTTGATGCACCCTCTTTGGCAATTGCACCATCCCGCACAACACTATCTGCCTCAGCCTTTAGTTCTCCAACATCACGAGAGTTCTTCAAGAAACGAGTTTGTAAATCACGAACACGAGCTTGAAGTTTGTCCACATCAACAATAGTCTCGTTTGCCTTAGTCTGAGCCTCAGTAGTCTCACTTGCAATCTGGAAAAAGATGTTTTGTTGGGAATTTTGTTTGTTTTTCCACACAAATTTCATTTTTTGTTATCAAAAATGTAATTACAGATTTTTTGTGAACTTACTTGTGCAAGGTCTTTGCCAGCAGACTCAATGTCATTAGTTGCCTTGTCAATGGCTGCCTCTGCCATTTCTTGAGCTTCTCTTGCCTCCTCAAGAGCTTGGATAACCTTTTCGGCCGTAGCTAGGACACCTGCAGCTTCATTCCTAAGAAGAACAATATTTAATACAGTAATATTTTAAGTTTTAAAGAAATAAAATATTGTAATTTTGGGGACAACATCTTGTCCTTACTTGGCATCAGTAGCTTGGATCTTCAGTAATAAAGCATCGTTCAGGTCATCCCGAGTCTCATTCAAAATCTTGTCAATGTCTGTCAGGGAGGCAATTGCCCCATTGATATCAGCAGCAAGCTTGGTGATTTGCTCAGGCTCCCGTCGAATCTCCTTTTTCAAGGTCTAGAAATAAAAATGTAAAATTGCTAGTTTTTGTAGCGAGCAAGTAAACAGAAATACATAGGAACACACTCTCACCTCAGAGGCCCTTGTACTGATATCATTTGGTGTTGCATGATCCACATTAAGGAAGTTGGACAAGCGATCCACAATGGATGTGCTTTCATTCAGACTAACTTCTGATGTATTTCTTGCAATTTGGGCTTTTTCCAAAGCTTCTTTCACAAGTCGCTGCGCCTGCTCTGTCTCTTGATGTGCAAATGAAACACCTTGGAAGAGGTCCTCAGCCTTGGAGTCTTTGTCACGAATTTGTTTGTCTGCATCTTGAGCATAGCCCAGGGCTCGCTCAGCTTTACGGGCAGCACCATTCTCACAGGGCAAGCCCCCACAAAATCCACAACCTGCTCCACCGCAAAGTGCATCACAGCTGTCTTCCGATGGTGTGTCACTTCTACCACAAACCTGAAATCAAAGCAAAAACTGTTTAACACAAAACTGGAGTAATGATTAAAATGTGACAAGATAGGTTAAAATTTTTCCTACTTGTTTGTTTAGCTCAGGGATCATATCCTCAAGCTTTGCTAGCTTCTCAGAGACATTTTCAAGTTCTTTGCTATTGTCGTCTTGAAGTTGCTGGAACCTATCTGATGATTTTCCAACCATATTTTCAGTACGACGACACAATCTTTCAGCTTCTGCTGATAGCTCCTTTGTCCGTTCTGCCTCCACCTGGGCTTGCCGTGATCTATGTGATGCTAGTCTGGTCAAGTTCAACGCCCCTGCAGATAAAATAATTAACAATGATATAAAAAACAAAAACAAAACATTAATTTCATTTTATCAAAGAAAGAACAAATGAACAGAGAAACCTTACCTTCAACATTTGATTCTTGCAACTTAGTAGCATTATCATGCAAACCTTTAGCAGTGCTGCTTAGTAAGTCTAGTTTTCCACCAAGATCTGCAAGAGTGAGATTGGCCACTAGGATTCGCTGAGTTGTGTTTCTGCCAAGGTCTTCAACTTGTGCAAGTTCATCCATTGACTGGTTCAAATTTTTACTAGAATTTAAATTAAAAATTCATTTGAACATAAATTCAAAGCAAATCAAGGCACCACCATAAAGTTAAAAATAAAAGATGTAATTACCGAAGTTGGTTCACAAGTGATTGAAGACCATCTATCTCATTAGCAGACAGTTTTGTCTCATCAAGTATAGTCTTCACCTCATCTATTTTCTTGACCATTTGTTCAAACTGCCTTGAGTATGCACCAGTAGCACCCTTCAGTTTAATTTCAGAGGCTGATTTCAGCACCTCAGTTGTTTGCACTGAAATTTGCAATAATTTTGGTAATTTAATTAAATATAATAATCAATCAGATTGAAAAGCAAATTTAAACATTACCATTGCATATAATATACTTACTTTTTAATTCATCCAACACACGATCCCAATTGTTGAAACATTCCCCACATTCCCGACAGTCTGGAACATTTCCTAAATATCCTCGAGCACATTCATCGCAATTGTAACCACCAATGCCTTTTGTGCAAATACAACTGCCATTATTCTGGTGACATTGCATGGTTGCGGCTCCTTCGGCATTACATTGGCATGCTAATTAGGAAAAAATGAAATATGATCAGAATTTAAACAAATACAATTAATACAACAAAAAGTAATTTCCAAAATATGAATTTTTGTTTGAAATTACTGAATATTATTCATAGAACTTACGATGGCACTCAATATTAGGGTTACCCCATGAATTGGCCTCACATTGATCACACTTCCTGCCACCATATCCTGGTCTGCACTTGCACTGACCATCAAACGAAAAAAAATAAAAAATTTAATTTTAAATTTTAATAAAAAAAATAACCCTTTTTTGACAGTCGCAGATGTCAAGTTTCTTAGAACTATTGTAGCATCTCACCGGATTACACTGTGTTTCATCTGATCCTGTAGGATCACAATCACAGGCTTCACAACCTTGACCACTTGCTATCTTCCAATGATTTGGTTTGCATTCATCACAAGATAAACCAACCACATTTGGCAAGCATGGGCATTGGCCTGTCTTACCGTCACAGGGTCCAATTGTTTGATTTGTTCCAAGCACATTACAAACACAAGCTAAGGAGAAAGGGAAATTATTTAGAGCAATTGATTAGGAAATACAGAAAACATAATAAACCAATGTAATAAATACAAGACTATACTACAATGCCTACCAATACAACGCTGATTTACAGCATCCCCATAGTAGCCAGCTTTACAAACTTCACAATTAAATCCTTCAGTGTCAAATAGACAGTGGAGACATTCTCCAGTGCGATGATCACAGTTTCCAGGGCGTGAGACGTCAACATTCTTGCTGCAGTTACACAGGTTACAGGAACCTCCAGGTTGATCAGGGTTTCCAAAATAATTATCACCACACACATCACACCGAGGACCTAAAGTAGGCAAATTAATGAAAAATATATCACTGCCAAATATATGTAAGAAAATGACAGTTAAATAAAATCTTAAACAACCACTAACCTGCATATCCTTCTTGACATTCACAAACGACATCCTGTGTGTAGGGATCTAAAGAGCACTGATTGGCAAAGGAATGACCAGATTCTTGGGTGTCCGGGCAAGGACAAGGACGACAAGGAATATCCCTCCCCAATCGGGGATCTCCATAATAACCAGAATCACATCTAAAATTTTAAAAATATTTAATAGCAAAAAGAAATTCTTAAAAAAAATATTTTAACTTGAAGATGCTACATTACATTACCTGTCACAATATGTTCCATTAGTGTTATTTCTGCAATCAATGCAAGCACCCGTGTAGGAATCACAAGTATCTGCATATCCATTGCACTCACATCTCTGACAGGTAGGGAAATTCCAGAAACCAGGTTGACATTGACCACAGTCCCTGCCATACATATTTGGCCGGCATTTGCATTGTCCTGAATTGCTGCAGATGTTGTCCAATGATCCAATGGAGTTACAATCGCAAGCTAAAAAATATAAGTTTCAAATTTGAAAACATTATCCAGATCTACTAGAAGAATGTCAAGAGAGGGAATTACAACAAACCTCGGCATCCTTCTGGCCCAAAGCCATAGGTTCCCACTTCACAACGATCACACCTACGACCTCCAACATTGGGTTTGCATTCACACTGTCCCCCAAGTGTGGTACAAAGAGTACTTATAGATCCAGTAGGATCACACTCACAAGCTGTAAAATAATTTACAGAAATGTGGGGTAAATTTTTGAAACAAAAGTACAAAAAAGATACCATAGTTAAGAAAGCACTCACGATACGCTCCATTCTGCACAAAGAACCCAATGCTATTATAGAACTGCTTGCATATTTCTGGGACTGAAATTCCTCTGGTAGGCAATCTAAAATAGTCTGCGCACCGATACCTTTCAAAATCGTCCCTATGTCTGATATTTTCTGGAGTGCCTTGGAAAAATGGTATACTTTCTGGACGTGGGACCAAGGCAATCTGCACACAAATATTAAATAATAATATATGGGACGGACACAATTGACAAAGTCTACTTATGCTTTAAGGTGGGACTTACTGAATCAACAAGGATGGATGCTGTAGGTTTATCTCCATCCTGATCATACTTCTTGAAAGAAAGTTTAATATGGTAAGTCTTGCCTGCCTCTAAACAAGCTGGAGGTCTGACAACAGCACTCCTGTCCCCTACAAGTAATAAAAGAATCCCAAAAAATAAGAATAAAAAAAGGCATTACAACATGTAAAAAAAATAATTTAGTTCTATACCACTTACCAGCTGTTAATCGAATGTGCTTGATATCATCTTCAGGCCTTGTATTAGCACAAGGACCATCTGAGTCAATTTCACCATCTCGCTCCACAGTCACAAGTACATCTTCCCAACCATTAGGAAGCTGGAAAAGAATTGAATTTAGTTCTCCTGGTAAATAAATATGTTAAAGACGATTAAAAAATAAAACAACCATTATTTTCAATACCTGCGGCTCATATCGAATGACTATGTCATAATCCATGCTTGATCTGATATCATCAATTGTGAAATTCAAATCAGAATTTTCAAAGGTCCTCATAAAGCCAATGCCAGTGAACGAATCATGTCCACCTGGTGTAGGCTCACGGGTAACAACTTGGCAATCCTTCAAAACCAAAACAACAAAAATATTGTAGAGAATGGAAACATAGTACCCATTCCAAAAATTAAGATATAATTTTACTTACATCACTGCCGAATGCATTTTCTGCTTCATACACATTATAATCCATTAATCCAGTATAGAAAGCCTGATCAGGCTGGTTGCACTGTCTTCCAGTAACATGAGGGCGGCATCTGCAGATAAAAATTTGACATTGATGATGAAGTGTCTCAAAAAATTTAAATGAAGTTAAGTTGGATTTACACATTACCGGCATTGACCTGTGAGAATATCACAGTTGTTGTCATAAGCACCACCAGGGTCACATTCACAAGCTTTGCACCCATCTGGATCTTCAGACAGTCCAAAGTGTTCAGGCAAACACTGGTTGCAATCCCTTCCGTGAACATTTCTCTTGCAGGTGCACTCTCCAGTGTTCATGTCACATCCCTGGTTACCCACAGTTCCCAATGTGTTGCAGGTACATGCTGAAATATACATAAAAGTTTACAGTACTTGCAGAAGAGAAAGATTATGTTGGTATAAAATTTTAAAAGCTCTTTCATTACCTTGACAACCATCCGCGTTATTTTCATCAAAGTTCCAGAAACCATTCTTGCAGCGGTCACACCGACGCCCATCAACGTTTGGCTTGCAGTGGCACTTGCCAGCCTCCAATCCATTTTCAGGATCAGAGCGAGAGTCACAAATACCTTCATCCACGGAACCTCGAGGATCACAGTCACAGGCTGGAAAATTAGATGGCAATATGATTACTTTTCAAAGAAAAAAGGAATGAAAAATCATTACAATAGAATTATATTTAGAAGAGAAACATACGCTGGCATGCCTCAGGATCTGTAAAATCTCTCTGAGGATCATGGTAAAACAATTGGGTACACTGTTCACAGTTTCGCCCCATTGTATTGTGTTCACAACCATCACACACTCCTCCACTTATACGTCCAGTTTCTTCATAAACAGCCTCATCAAAGTGACAATTTGTAGCATGGTTGTTGCAGTTACATGCTGTATATCAAAAACAGATCATTAGCTTAAGAAAAATATTAAGCACGTAGTTTCTTAAGTTCAAGGGGGGAAAAGAAAGAAGCATTTACCCTTGCAAGCATTGCTCTGTTTTCCAATAGCAGGCTTCCATGGCAAGTCATTGTAGAAATCCTCACACATTTCGCAGTTATACCCTTTTGTATGATGAGTGCAGTCACAACGACCATACACCGTGTCAGGTCTAGGTGTCACATCACCTCGAGGCAGACACCGAGAAGCATGTCCGTAGCATGAGCAGGACCCACGAACTATCATTTCAAAAATAGAGTAGTAATATTTTTCCTGTAAAAAAGTTAGTTTAAATTTTTTGAGTAATCAGAGAATCAGGATCTATTAATGAGTGCAGTTTTGATGATGTTTCTAAACAATTACCTGAATTTCTGGTCTATTGTCAAGAAAATCATCACCAAGGGTATGAAGTTTAGTAAAGTTAATCCTCAAGTTTGTCATCTTCAAAAGGTTTTGAACTTCAATAGAATATGGATCATCTATTTTTAAGGAAGGAGGAAGAACTCGGAAAATAACCTGGAATTATAGAATAATGTTTCATTTTTGCTGAATTGTAGAACTTCAGCCTTCTCTTCGTTGTCTTCTGATATTGTTGAGAGACCAAACTTACTTCACCATCAGTGGAGGGTGCAACCTTAGAGTACCTAGACTCACAAACAACATCAGTCAGAGATCGTGGACTATGTTTTGGCACTCCTGGGAATGACTGGTCACAATTTAATGCAAAATATCTATAAACCTGTCAACAAGACAATGGCATAAATATAATAATTAGTAAGTTTAAGATAAATGTTAATGGATAATTTTTGTTACAGCTGCCTCACCTTCCAAGTGTCACCAAAATCATAAGAACGCTCAATCAACATGGCAGCTGGTCTGAATGTCTTAAAAGTGATGATGACATGAGTAAAATGAAATTCAGCTTCCAAATCCAATTGAATTGAAACATTTTCCTTCCCATTCTCTGCTTGCCACCATGACCTGACTCTTGAGCTACAAATTAAACGTGTTGAGGGACTCTTATTTTCTACAAAAATTTAAGTACAACATATTTTTGATATTGTTTTACTCACTCTGGACTGTCTCTATAGATGACATTCTGAATAGTATGAGATTTTGCAGGATTACGTTCATGAGGTCTTGAGTCACATCTAAAGCACTTTTTGCTTTCTTGTAAATGGGAAACTATACAGTAGCGTTCCTACAATTGAAAATTCAAAGAATTGTTAAATGTCACTCAGTCATTTGTTTGAAATGAAACTGATGATGCAAACATGATTACAAACATACCTCTTCTCTTAATCCACAAGTCGAAGTTGCATGGAGCTGCTTCTCTCGCCCAATCAAAAGGTTTCCAGTGGCAGGGTAGCATGAGCTTTGATCACAAGGGTGTAACTTGTGTGGCTGGTACCCTAACAGTAAAAAGAAAAGGATTAACAGAGAGTTCTAAACAACTCCAAGTGCACAGATTTTAGAGACAAAATTTTCCTGGCTAAAATTCTATATTTTTCAGGGATAAAAAAGCAGCGAGCCAGCAAGTACAATATTACACCAAGGCAAGAAAGGGTAGAGAAAAAAGGTGTGGTAAAGATTACATGTAGGGTACCATCACCATGCACACCAAACAAGTTCTACAACAATACCTGTAAAAAAAAGAAAAAGAATAACGGTGCGTAAAGCGTGACAAAAAAAAAAGGCAGAAAAAAGTACTTGAAAAGGACTTGCCAAAAATGACATTTACAATTTGAAATTTTAGCAATCTTTCATTTAAAAAAAACAACAAAAAACAATCTTCATTTTTGAGGAAATACTAGGCAGTAAGAGTTAATGCACAATGGGGAACAAGAAGAAAAAATACAGAACGTAATGGGATTAATTAATGGTAGGGTGAATCACCATAATCCATTGTTAATAAAGAGATCCATCACCAGCTGTGTAATTAAATGTGAAAGCTGGAAATGGGTGTACAGGGGAGGACAGTTAAGTACAATCACCTGTTGGAGAAACAAGGAAATAAAAAGACATTGATGGTATCAAAGGATTTGTACACAACTACATGGAGAGTGCGTGCTGATGAGCTGTTATTGGAGCTTAGAACCAGTCCTGTTAAATTAGCACTGAGGATTTGTGCCGCAACCCAAAGAATGCTTGTGAGGCACAAAATGAACAGTAATATACCTCGCCACTTTGAACCTTGAAAATCAGGATAAGATTCGCTGAGGGGGTGAGCTTCACCCTCATACTCTGCATAGGCTTCATCACTATCTGTGATAGGGATGTCGCCACGCTTGGGAGTTGGAGCAGGAGGAGGTCTGGGTGGCCCTCTGACCACTCGATGAGATGGAGAAATGTAAGTATGAGTTCTTGTTCCTGTTTTTGCTGTAAGTCACAGGGTAGTATGGCATATTACATGACATTAATATTACAGGTTATTTCATGGAGTGATATAAGTAAAGTTGGATGACCTAAAAATTAAAAAGCATGTATTCTGCAAAAATGAATGAAATTTAGTCATAACAAGATGCTTTTGTATTCTGTGGAAGAGTACTGTCCCAACTTAACAAACCTTAGGACAGCCACTTTTTACTGATGCTTAGTTGGACAAAAATTAAATATCTAAAAACCTATGTAACCATATCTTCTAAGGTGGTAATCTCACCTCTTTGGGGCGAAGTCAGTCTTGAGGTTCCATTGGTGTATGGATACTGTGCGTAGGCTGCTCCTGAAACAAGCACCACATCATTCTCATTCAATTCACATATGCCAAACAGTATAGGGAGACACAACTAGGAGCGAGCTTTTCTTATGGGAGCTCTTCTGAACTACTGCCTCCTCAGCTACCCCCGCAACACATGGGTCGGCTGGGTCCCGCCTATCCCTTTGCGTGGACCCTCGGAAGCCGCAGCCACCACCGCAGCAACATCTCCTCAGAAAAGCTCGCTCCTGGCTGTGTCTCCCTATACACGTCCATTCTCACAATGAATTTCATATTCTACAAACTCCGGTGTCCACGCCCTTTCGGTCCCCCCCCCCCCCCTTCCCAAGATCCCTGCCCCTCTACCTCCAGATGGGCAACACATGTCCATAAATAGCCCTGCGGGGCCCTGCAGCCCTTAACCCCCCCCCCTCCCCTCCTCTGGTTCCGCCACGCCGCTCGTCAGACTGCCGGCCCGAGGGGTCGTCGGTAAACACCCAGCAGGAGCAAAAGCGGGTCCAGCACCGATGGCCCCACAGCCCCCCCCACCCCCACACACAGAAACACACATGCCGCCCCCGCCCGCTATCGGGCAAAAAAGGGGCAACACGTGTGGGTTTGGCCTCGGGGCCGGCCGGCGGCCTCGCAGTAAGTGGTGACCACCGGCCGCCAACGAGCTTCAGCCGTTCCACACTCGCAAAGTAACAACACCTGAGTAACACCATAGTAACACACTGACCTGCCGAGCAGACGAGGAGAAGCAGAGTCGACGGCCACATGGTCGGCAGAAGGGGCGGTACAGCGCACCGCTGGCGGGGGTGGGGCGTCCCTCAGCACGGCATCGCCTGTAACAGCAGCAAAGGGCACGGTGACGAAGACGGTGACCACGGTGATGGAGGCGGCGACGGTGAGCGGCTGGCGGACGCACTTGTCTCTAACAACACAACACACGAGCGCGGCAGTGCCGGCGCGTAGGGCTTGGGGGACGGACGCGCCGCCGATGCACGTGGGCAGTCTATAAATACTATCGCGCGCTCTCTCCCGCTCCCTCGGCTCTCCCGCCTTTCTCACTTTTGAACCGAATCACTCTTTCCCGCTGGTGTGCAGTACAGCAGTCTGCCTGGTACTCCTGACATTTGACGCCGCGTTATTGCTTGCAGTGCGGACTGGCCCGGTCACTCACACACACTAACTCACACTCACACACACAGTCACTGTGGCGTGCAGCGGGGTCGGCGCGGTCACGCGAGCAGCAACAACTCCTTGAGCAGATTGAGATCCTCGTGAAACGGAACGTCACCCGCAACGCCTTGCCACCTTGCCACGCCTGCGTGGGCCTTGCGTTCAACTCACAAGGGACGTTTCATTCCGTACACAAACTAAGGTACACATCAGCACTAAAGAGGTTTGTAGACAGTTTTTTTGGGGGGTGCCGATCATAAATTTATCTCCCCAAGCGACATTTGCCATGTATATGTGGTAAATTCAACACAGCGTCTTAAACGTTTCTGCAATCATCCATGGACTCAATTAGACGAGAATAAAAAATGTACCCCGCCCCTAAAATTGACGTACGGCCCCTGCGGAAATAAGGGTGATAGGGTGATAATATCTCTGCACTTTTCACGTCACTCGATGTTTCCGATCGGTGCCCCTGAGCAGGCCGACGATGCACACATGCCATCCTCAGCAGCAGCGATCGAATGAGGAAAATTGGCGCCGACTGAAGTTAGTGTGGCGCAAGCACTTCCCTCCCCGCCGTCCGCCGTGCATCCGATAAAAAGTATCGGCCGCGAGGGGCGCGCAGCGGAAGCGCACTGCAAAAGCAGAGGCGACAAGCTCTCGCGCCGACAACAACGCCTCTTGGAGGGGTATACATACAAGTGGATAGAGGATATGTGGCTCAACGGATCACTTTGTAGTTATATACTGTACCGCATGCAGGCCTGTAGGAGGGTTGCCTACTCGCCCGGGGCCGCATGGGGCTGGGGTTAGTAACGGTAGGCGGCCAACCCAGAGAGAGCAGAATCTGTTTTCTCTGGGCAGACCTACCCGCCACCCGCAACCGCATGGCATGCGGTACAATGTAATGAATTCAAAATTTTCCGTACGTACTACAGGGTGGCCCATCGGTGCCGTTCTTTCATCTGGTTTGTGCTGCACCGGTGCGGGCGGGTCGCATACTGCACGGGGCCGCAAGGTGCCTTGGTGCGCGACGATAGGCGAGCCCACCCGCACGACGATGGGCTACCCTGTATGCTAAGGTGAATGAAGCACCAAAGCCTCGGGGGGTGAGTGCAGTAGAGAATGGGATCACTGCCCTCCCCGACAGACGCACACACACGCCCCATCTGTCGCAATCTCGCCTTATCTCGACGGGCTGTACGGCACTGGAGAAAGCGCCCCTCGTCCCTCCCTGCCCACCTCCCCTTTCCCCTCGTGGCCCGCGGCCACCCGAGTGTCCTTCCCCCTGCACAGGTGCGCCCGGTCCGGAGCAGTCAAAAGGATATCACGTGACTGTCCACCGGGGGGGGGGGGTGCACACACCTGGCGGCACCTGTATCTGCCGCACCCTGCCGTGCGCCCATACGATTAACTCGGCTTATATGGCCATGTCAGTACTGTGCACCTCGAGGGACCGAGGGACATGCCGGCCGGTCAGATGCTCACAGCACCGCCTCCAGCTCCAGCTCGCGACTCGAGCCGCTGCTCGCTGGGGGGATCGATGACTGTGCCCGACTCATTTGCAATCCAATGTATACAGCGGAGGGGGCGGAGACAGAGACATCTGCCCCGGGGGCGGCCTCGCGGCCCTAGGGCGGCCCGGCCCGTGCTCATTGTGACCGGGAACAAAAGGCCGGCGCAGGAGAAAAGCCGGAACGGATCGCGACAGCAGCAGGCTCGGCTCGGCCCCGCGAGGCTCCGCGCGCGCTCTGCATGCTGTCGTGAGGAGGCCGGCCCAAGACCAACCGGCCGGACATATCATTTCGCCGACGAGTTTCCGGTTCAAACACCTCCGCGATGACTCCTTTATTCCCTCCGCCGCGGGTGTGGCGCCCCTCAGCCCCGCCGCCGCCGCCGCCCCGTGGTCACACAGGGCCGTGGTCCATCCGCAGCATCTCGGGTCTCACGACGACGACCGTGGTTTTTATCTGCCCGCTCCCCGAACCACGCTCGACTTTCCCAGACCGACTTCTGGTGACCAAAATTGATAAGGGTCGACCCTTGGCACGGGCCGGGCCGCGGAGGCAGAGCGGCCATGCCGCCCGCAGCGCCGGCCCAGCGCGAAAGGCCAAGCGTGCTGGGCCCCTCGCGCCCCTCGTCTCGTACGCCGGAAGGAAGGGCTTCGCAATCCGCCATTCGCACGAGTTGAGCGTGAAGTTGAAGACTGTGAGGACGGGGAAGCGGCGACCTGGAGGAGGTGTTATTGTCCTTCCTCGTGGGCATGATTATGAGCGCGCGGGGGGG